TATCACCTGCAGAACTCTGTTGGATTCCCCTTGCATCCTCAACCACAAAACCATGAGCTTCTCCCTACTCCTCTCTCCATCTTTTTGGGTGTCACAACATTAGGTTTTCTAACTTATTTGGAATAAGTTAGAACGTAAACTTTATTACAAACAAAACAAAACAAAACCCCAAAAAAACAAAATCCCAAACCCAAAACCAACCCACCCCAAAACCAAACAACCCATCCCCTCTCCCCCACCAAAACCCAACCCCCCAAAAATGCACAGAAAATAAGGAAGCTGGAGGCAGTAATCGTAAATAACCAGTGTCTCTCTTGCATGGTGGAGAAAGTAACCGTCAAAAAGTACCATTCTTGCAAGAGAAATGAAGACAGTTTGCCAAAGAGGTCTTACAAACGTGTAAGACGCTGGCAGAAAATTATTACAGGAATGGCAGGAAACAAAACAACTTATAATACCTATTATAAGCAGGTACTTCAATGTAGGTATACTACCTGATCTCTGTTAAACTGCTACATAATTTTGTGGAGGTGAAAAAGAAAAAAAGACAGAAAAAGATTAATTGTTAAGCTCTCTGAGATTTTGCTTTCTAACATCCAGGTTTAGGACTGATGTACATATTATTCTTCATTGTTTTGGATGTTTCTGTAGCTTGTAATGAGATCCCACTACCTTTTCCTTGCTGTAAGAATCTGTGGTGAGAGGTTTGTCAGCTACCCTCCAGAGGTTATAAACACATTGCTTTGTTCAATTAGTTCAACACTTAAACAAATAAATAGTCACCCCATCCTGCCCCAAATAGCAAATTTCACCCAAATACAGCAAACAGCTGGAAACAATTATGGTTTTAATTTTCTTATTGGATTGCTTTTAGGAGCAAAATATTTATATTTCCAGTTCTGTTAAACAGATCCTCTGTGGAAATATTGCTGAACTAAGAATCAGTCTCTCGCTTAAAAAGAATAAAATAAGACAATTATTTTTATATGTCCAATTTGTTATCAGGTTTCAACACTGAAGTCTTATTTTTATGAGTAAGCTGCAAGACTTTCATAATTTATGTGACTATTCTGACACTAAACATACATAGAAATGGGAAATAAATTTACCAAAATAGCAACCTACATAACACAGATACTTGTGGATATATTTGAATAGTAGGTCTCTTAGCAACCATTGCCAACCATTTCAGACTGTATATAAGCAGCCTTTAGAAATGAACGGTTACACTGTTAAGTACAGCATTTTATCAAAATGTACAGCTGAAAGCCAGAAACACATCTATATTCAAAAAAAAAAAGCAAAAAGCAGGCAATCAAGAAGAAGATTGAAAAATGCCCATTAAAAAAAACTGTATCATTTTTTCATACAGGCATTCTTACTGCCAAGAAACACTTCATTAAAGTTCCTCTATTTTTTTTTTAAATTAATTTAGAAAAAGCTGAGTTCAAAGACTGTCACACTTGTCATGAAACACCAAAAATTGCTTAATGTTCTCAAGTCTCAATTTCCTGTTTAAGTGATCTCTAGTCACAGATTCTTAGCAGTTACTCTAGACACACATCAAATACAATCAGAAATGGAAGGACACACCAATTCCTACAGGCTCAACACAAACACTTGTACACATGGAAATATATCTACTTGCGTGTATCTATAAGAGTCAACAGAACTTTTAATAGAAAAATGTGAATTTTAAATTGACACACCGTGTACAGCAATATGTAAAAACGCATCACCTAACCATGAGGCGAGAATTTCTGAATTCTTGGAATTCTTTTGAACTCTTAATTGTCATATCACATGATATGACATGACATCACATGATTTTCAGATACATATGTTTCAAAATCTCAAGTTTCCCTCTTTCAGCAGATACTACTCTTCGTTTAGTAGAATTATTAAAGATTAACAGGATTAAAAAAATAAATAAATCCTTGTTTTAGACCAATTCTCCTGTGCCAAATAGTAAGAGGTCTGAATGCCTTGAAAAGGTGTGAGTGAGTGGGATGCCACCAGTCATGACCAAGTTCAGCAGCACATAATAGGAGCATTTAGGAATTATTTTCTCTAGATTTTGAAGAACACCACAAGCATTCCTTCTAATGCAATCTTGCTACATCTAAAGAAAATAAAATCAGCCTAAAAAAACCTGCCAAGAGTGATAACCCCCCATGCATATTCTTACATCTCCACTGGGTACTAGATTATCAGATTGGTGCACCCCCTTGTTCAAATCAATATTTAGATGAACAAGAAGATGAACAAACAGAGAGGTTTGATCCAGATGAAAAACGCTCTTGTATTCAGAAGATGGATGAAATAAAAACATAAGTATATCTCATTGCTTTTGTAGAGTGAAGAAGGTCTTGTGATATCAAGAAGGAAATTGAAGTCCCTTCTCTGAATCTTTGAATTTAAGCATAGAAATCGCTTTCTTAGCTACATTTTTCAGATATTCTTCATATGAATAACATACAAGGACAGTAAAAGCACTACTTTTATTGCCTGAGCACTACAGGGAAAAATAAAAGCTCCATGACAAAGAGGTGAGAGGAAGGTCTTCAGAAATGCTGAGGATCTTCCTGCCACTTCTAGTTTCAAGTCTCAGCCCACAAGGAAACTCCCTTTTCTAACTAAGTAGGAATCTTTCTAAATTTCCCTGATTTCAAAAGCAAGCTATCGACAGCATTAAACACGAAGTTCTTTATGACTTTGCGGTTATACAAAAATTCACGATGGGAACAAAAGACAAGACACGCCTGTTCCCAAAAACTGAAGACAGAAGTCCTATCTGTGGAGTTTCCTGGCTTATCCCAGAAAACAATATTCCTTCAGCCATCTCCATTCTGGCATCTGTCAAGGCCTGGACTAAAATTCCTCAGTAGAGAAGACCAACTACTGTATTTTCAAGTGAAATAAAAAAGCACACAAGAAGCCTAGCTTGTACACAAGGAGGAGAAAGATGAAATATGTGTAAAATACCTGGCTACCAGCTGACCAACTGACAGAAACCATCTCTTCCATTTAGCCATAACGATGGCAAGCAAACTACAAAAAAAAAAAAGCTACTCGTTCTTTGCCAATGTTGTTTATTACTGGTGCTACTTCTGCCATGCTTTTAATAGAGCTTGAACTTCTCGTGGCCTTTTGATTTACTTCCTCCTCGACCACTATAGCATCGCTGTTTCCAGTGCTACGCTGGGAATAGGTTTGTTAATGAACTTCTGCCCCTGTGGCCATACTCTCCCCTTCCAACAGAAATATTTTAACAATATGAAGACACAATAAAACTGCCGTTGAAGTAGTCTCTCTAGATAGCAGTGGTTTTAGGCTACTTGATAGTAAACCTTTCATTTTTCAACAGTTACTGTTTCAGCTCCCTCTCATAGCCAGTAAGTCAAATATTTTGATTAAGGTATCAAAACTGGAGTCAAACCAACTATTATATGTATCTATAGAAACAGAGACTGACATATAAAAACACACACATTTCCTTTACCTCTGTAGATTGAAAACTTTCATTGTATATGCTTGTTTAGCCTTTTTCTGTGGCAAATAAAGTTACACTTCCAAATTCTAATCTTTTAAAAGAAATTTTTTTTCAAAAGCAAAACGAAGCCTTAAAGAAAACAGATCAGCTTACCTGCAATACAAATTTCTGATCTATGTACTTTTTGGCAATGCTGGGCTGAAATTCTTGGCTTTCCAAAAATCGTATGAAAAACTCATATACAAGCTGCAAAAGAAAACACAAAAAAATACCACAACCATGGTTTAGTTTATGACTTGATTCTACTTTATAGTTTTAAGTGTTTCCCTAAATTCTTTTCCTAGAAAATACTTATTTTTCCACAGAGCAAAAAGATGAAAAAGATTTCTCTCCTTTATCAAATTGCTACTTTAAAGTTAGAATTAATTACATGGGCTTTTAAAGTTAGTTTTGCTTATTTAACTTCAGTCAAAGACATTTCATCACCAAGAACAGGCACTGACATCTTGTAATGCTTGTTATCATCTTGTAAAGCTTTTTAGAGTAATTGGAAAGCACATTTAAACTGCCCTCCGAACTGCTGAAGTCACATCAAATACAGACATTACAATTCTGAAAGCGTTGGTGAAACAGTTGGAAATATTTAAATTAAAGTAGAAACTGCTTAGAGTAGCATTCTACTACAACCTGAAACACAGAAGAAGAATACAGACCAGAATTTATTCAGAAATTTCTAATTTACTATAAAGATTAGCCTCAGGGCTGGAGAAAACCTGCTTACTTTCCCGCGATTCCATCTCTGCCTAAACTATTCAGTGGGACAGCAACAGACTTTTTTCATTTAGTGGAAAAAAGGAAGAGTATAAAAACCAGGCAAAAGGGAAGTGAAGTGAAACAGGGACGGACTGTTCTGGCCTCGTAAGACAGCAACTCTGACCTGTCACTGATCAGATCAGCTACCAGCCAGCAATTCTCTTTGCTGAACCCTTCCAAGAAGGGCAACCACTGAAAACCTTTTCCTTTCTGCCTTCAGTGAGTATGAATATTGATACTGAAAGGAGAAAGCAAGCTAAAAATTCTATTTTAAAATAATTTTAAACTTTTCCATGCAAACACCAATATGCTGCAATACCGCGGCTGCTGCTTTATGTCAGTGTTCTCTGACTTCTAAAAGGAAGCAATAGGAAATCAAAAAGGGTGAGAAAGGTTTAGAAATATGACATGGGAAAAGTGACAGCTTACATAACTAATATTAAATCATCAGGAAATCAATTCCATCAACTCCTGACAAATACTTTGGTGCATTTCTTCCTAACAATGGTAAATCATCCGCTGGCTAAGTCCGTCATTTCCATGAAAGTAATGACTTTTAAAACTACAGCACAAGTGTCAACGAACATAAGATAACAGACGTGTATGCCCGTGCTGTTTGCAGGCAGGCAGAGCTGTTCAGAGCTGCCTTGAAGCTTTTAAGACTAAATTTTTGTGAAATTTAAATATAAATGAGGGATGAAACCTACATTTCAACAGACGCTAAATCTGAGAGCACAAAAGAGTGAAACAGACTGCTCACAGGCAAGGACTGTGCATGCAACTGTCAAAGAAAATCCTCATTTCAAGCTGAGATCAATTGTGTGCTCCTTTGCTCACCAAAACTCCAAGACTCCACAAACTGTTACTCAGGCAAACTTCTAAATTTACTAGTGGTGTAAGTCACTGTCCTAACACGGACAGGATCCACATCTGTATTTTCTATAAAGGAATTTACTGCATTAGCATCAATGATGCTTTCTCCAAAATTAGTTTGTTCTTTGTTCAAAACACCTTGTGTTGACACTTGAGGTACAGAGGAAGGGATGACATGCAGCAGTAAGCAAAGAGCATGCATCCTGCCACAAACACCTGAAAGCAAACCTCGACCTGGGGAGAAGAAGGAAGACTTAGATAGAGAATTAGCTTCTTGTTCATTTTTCTGATCAGGTGCCAAAACCTGTGCAGTTTTGTATGAAAATTAACAACCCTCGGTAAAGCAAAACTGCTAGCAGTATCATCGCCACAATGCTCTTGCTGAAGGTGCTGAAAAATACTTGTGTAATACAACAGTTTGGAAAGCAAAATAATTTTTAAATCGATGAAGGAAAATAGGAAATATGAGGGCGACCATCAATAAAATTTTGAAAGAAAGCTTTCACATTTTGCAAATTTCACAAAGTCCTCTCACGTCTTTGTAGGTGCTATATTATAGCCATGAACCATCTTAATAAATTGTAGTGTCTCACAGACTAGTTCTGATTCACAGGTTAAAAAAAAAAAAAAAAAGGAAAAATTATTAGATACATTAAGCAATGATAAGCATTTCTCTGAGATCAGTGATTAAAAACCTGTAAATGTGGCCATGATGCCTCCAAGGTGGGCTCATCTTCTTCTGGATCAAATTCATTGCTGTCACTAGGTGGGAGAGTTCTGAAGATATTGCAAGATACCTGAAAAGTGAAAGAAACAATGATGAGATCTGTTTTGCAAATAGGTATTAGGTTTCAGGACTCTGTATGTCTATACCTACTCAGTCCTCCATCACAGAAGCAGCATTTCTTTTGCCTGCTGTCTGCCAAAGCTGTCTGACAAAAAGTTCTTTAGCAACAGCGCAGGTCTAAGGGACCTGTCACTTTTACAAACCTACAACCAGCCTTGGCTTTCCTTTCTCCAGTTCTTTTTGTTTCGTCTTTCCATTAATATCCCAGCATTACCCAGTCTGCCACCATTTCTGTCCACCACGTTCCACCAACATGCAATTCCCAATCCTGCTGGGCATCAATGGGTTGAGAGCCATGACTGTTTAGGAGTTGCAGAAAATGCCATCAACATGCGTTTACAAGTGTTTTCATACAACACTTGGTTATTTTCCTTTGCACAGGGAAAACATTAATGATATCTGCTTAAGGTCTCATCTGTCAGCACTTGTTAAGAGTTGCCAGTGCTATTCACACATTATATGCCTGGACACCTCATGCCAAGTACAGAACTCAGTACTAAATGCAAGCAACAAATAGTATTTGCTTGACACTTAGCCTACATTTTATTTCATGGTTGGTTCGCTTTGCGTAATCTTATTTAGAGGTATTTTGCTGAGACTGCTTGGCTTTGTGAGGTTCATGCTATCAGCAAAGACTGAACCAGAGTGCTTTCCTGGGTTAATTATAGTGCTGAATGGAGTGTACAGCTTATTATGCAGCAAATCTGATAAACTGCAAACATGCTGTAGGGACTTTTCTGCACTTTGAAGGTGGTGATGTGTCGCCTTTGCACTCTGCTACTGCATTTGACCCATCTCTAAGCTGGTTAATCAAACAGCTGGGAAAAGCAGCATGTTATCTCCTAATCTCGTCTATACGTGACCCCTTCATAGCAGTTCAAACTAAGCTATTTAAGAAACAAAACTAGTATGTTCTTCAACACCCTTATTTATTTTTCCAGCCTTTTACTCCTATAAATGTTTTTAAGTTAGTCTGTAAGGCATATTGTCAATATGTTGGCAACTTATTAAGAAAGGGCACTTTAAACCCAAGAGTTTAAATACAACCCAAATACTGCTAAATCCAGATTGAAATAGAGTGAAGTTTTAGAATTTGCAAGACAAACAGAACGGATTCAGGTACTGCATAAACAGAAAGATGAAACAACAGAAAACTGTAGGAGAGCACATGTGGTGCACTCCAGTGAGGAATACTTAACACAAGAAAAAGACAAAAGAAGCAAGGCAAACCAGTGAGCAAAGAAAAAAAAAAAAAAAAAAAAAAAAGAGGTCACACGGGTTTCTGCTTGCATTTTTTCCTTCTTGCCACAAGAGGGTGTACTTCCCTGCAGTTACAGGAAAACATACTTTTACAGAAGCCTTCACTGTGTATGTATGTCTCATGTTTTCAAGTCGCATGGCTTTCAACTTTAACAGATACAGCACTTACTGTAGCCTGTGCTGACAGATACTGCACTCTGCTTCCCCTGTATGCATACTGCCAAGTGATCACTAGCCTTTATTAGGAGATAACGCTTTTTCTCCCTTCTCCATCCTC